CCATCGCCGCCTCCGATGGCCCCACCGACAAGCCGCCGCCGCCAGCTGCCGCCGCCGCCGCCATCCCGGCGGCGGCCCCCGGCTCCGCCCCTGGCCCGTACTTGATAAGTTGCCACGTCAGTGCGTTGAAGGGACGGTTTTGCTCGTCCCGCTTACGTTCCAAAACGGGTACGGCCTAAGGTTGGGGTGTTCATTTGAATGCACTTTCAGTCAAGCAGGCTTTGGGTGAGCATAGTGAGAAGGAAGGGAGGGCGGGTGGGTGGGGGTTTGGCACGACACGGCGTGACATGGGTATAGTGGGCACGTGATCGCCGTGGGTGCGCGCCGATTACCTAGGGATTGAAATTGCGCGGCACAACTCTTCATCCCATCGACACTCCCATCAGTCTCGGGCAAAACCGTTCCATGTTGCAATATCCCGGGTCGTTTTTAAATCGGGCCATCCCCCCTCTCCCCCCCCTCTCCCCCTCCTCCTTCCTCGGACAGATAATTTCATTCTAAATGGTAAAGCAGGAAACTAGATTTTCACCACCACCACCACCCTCTTCCCCTCTCTCCCGCCGCCCCCTCCTTCCTCCTTTCCCTCCTCTTTTACCCCCTCCCCTTTCCCCTCCCTTGTAACCCCTTTCCATGTTTTTCGTCTCCCGGCGACTCCGACCTCACCAGCAGCTCCACATTGCCCCGCTCCTGCACCTGCGGCTGAGCCACCGCCACAGACAGCGCCGCGGCGGCGATCATCTCGGGTGAAACCCGCACGCGGAGCCACACCGGGGAGATACGGTCGTACGGCTTGCACGTCTCGGCTGTCGTACGAGGAAAGCGTGTACGGCGGGTAGTACACGGCAAGGGGCACACGTTGGAAAGGATCCACCCGGCATGGGGGGAAGGGAAGAAAGAAAAGCAAGTGAGATGTACTTCAGAAGGCTGCAATAAACTGTCAAACACACACACACACACCCCTGCGCTAAAAGAGGAGAGAAACCAAGAGAGGAAACCAGAGGGAGGAGGCGTCGCGTACGGAGGACGCTTTATCGAACTTCGAGGAACTGGACGAGGCGCCGCCGCCGCCGCACCAGCACCAGCACTCACCAACAATGGCCGTGGCGAGTTTCATACTCGACGTGTTGGAAGACACGTACATCACCCAAGGAGACTTGGTGCCGCTGCTGCTGCTCGCGCCGCCGCCGCGGCCACTGCTGCCGCCGCCGTCACGGCTGGCGACTCCACCAGCAGCCGCCGCTGCCGCTGCCG